TAGACTCTAAAATCTTTTTACCCAATTTACCTTGAACTTCAACTATCTTAGACTCATAATATTCATAGTCGTCTGCTTTCTTTGGTTCATAAGGTATAACAAGTTTGTATGCTTTGCCTTCTTTAAGGTTTGAGAACCTTCTGTCAAAATTTTCTTTGACTGCTAACAAACCTTCTATGTCTAAGTCTTCAAATTTCGCACAATTTTTAGTCACAATAGCAAACTTAACTGGTTCGATGTTCCAAACTTTGCTGAATGAAGACTTTTCAAAATGGTAGAAGTAAACATTCAAATATGTGAATGGGTCTAGTTCTTCTTTAAGTCCTGACATGTACTTATTTACTGAGATGAATTTCGTCATCTTTTCTATCGGATAAAAAAATATTTTTTTTAAATTTACTCAGAAAAATTTTTCTTTGTATATACACCATTCTGAACATCTAAAAGACTTTTGACATTTGCCAAGAATGTACGTTTAGACGCTGTCATATAACCATATTCTTGACAATATTGTTTATACGAATCGTACAATGACCTTTCATCTAATGACACAAAGTCAGTTTCATCTATGAACAGTTCATATACACTCTTGTTTGCTTCTAACAATGTTTGTCTCTCTTCGGTATGTGGAATTTGTCTTGGATTGAACTTAGAAATATCTAATGTCATGAAATATGAGAACAAGTGGTTGTAAAAGTCAGATGTCAAAGTTTCTGCTAAGTCGTCAAAATATTCTGTATCTTGCATATGAGAATCTGACGTTCTGACAACTACATATCTTCTGTCAGAACTTTCTAACTTCATCGGAACAACATTGTTTGAAACCATAATGAAGTTTGCAACATTTTCACAAACTCTTTGGTCTTTATACTTTCTTTCAACAACTCCAACTTTGTCTGTTATAAGACTCTTCAAAGCATCTGAGTTCAAAACTTTTGTTGTATCTATACTTTGAAGTTCATTGCAAACTATAAGTTTCATATTCTCTATTGAGGAGTTAAACTTGCCACAGATGTTTTCTAAGTTTGTCATATTCGGGTTCGAATAACCTTCTAACAGTTTGCACAAAATATCTGTAAAGAATGTGTTCTTACCAGTTCCTTGTTTTCCAATTATAATGAGAGCAGTTTCATTTTTAGCACTTGGATGTTGTAAGATGTTTGCAAACCAACATAAGATATACTCATAGACTCTTTCGTTTCCATTGCATATAATTTCTTTGACATGGTCTAACCAAGCTTCTATAATATTTTCTTTCCATTCTACTTGTTCGTATTTATATCCAGTGAAGATAGAATAGAAGTTTGGAGAAGGTGTATAGAACTTTATACCTCGAACTGAAAAATCTTCTAACTTTGACAATAAGATATCCCAAGCATCTAACATCTTCATGCCAACTTGTACAACTTTTATTTTCTTAAGTTTCTGTCTACATTCTTGTTCTGAAACTATTGTTGCTCTTGGTTTGTTAAAGACTACATCCCATTCTTTCATAACATAACATTCTGGGGCAGAGTCGACATAAATGACTAAACGTTTCAAATTCTCGACTGCTTTGTTATAGTCTCTAAATGGACACATATTTCTGAATGCTTGGAAGTCATAAAAATCTGAAACATCTATTCTGTACATTTTTATAAAAATAAAAAAAATATTTTTTTTATTCTTGACTTTGTTGTTGCATTTGTTGTTCTTGAGCTATTTGTTGTTGAAGTTGTTCTTGTAATACAATACTTTCACCAGTTGCATCTTCCAATTCGAAACTTTCTGCCGTCATTGACAAATACATAGGACATAAAAGTTTTACAGGAACAAAGTTTGCGTCAACTAATGTCAACGTTATACTTGCCAAAGTGTTTGAGTTCACTAAGGTTGAAAATTCTGCATTCGAATGAACAATAGGCAAACCAGCAGAGAAAGTATTGTTTATACGCATAAGTATCTTTTGGTCATAATAGTTTCTGTCAACATTCGAATAACACTTTGAACCTAAGTTTGAAACAATATATAAGATTGGTGTGCTTAATGTCAATGGAATAGACATTCCTTGTATGACACCTTTTCCTGTTATAGGAAACTGTTGGTAGTAAAAACCAGAAATAAGTTTTGTATTATAGCTCATATCGTTTATAGTAAACTCAGTCGGACATCCAAACATAATGAAACCTGCTCTAGTTGCAGCACATGTTACACCCGTACTTAAAGTATTAAATAAGTCAACAAAACCTGTTGGTGGTATATCTGAGTAAGTATCTTCAAAGGAGTATTTTTTACCATTCACAACAATAAAGTCTTCTGGTGTCAAAAGAGCAAAACAGGCTTTAGTCGTCATTGTGTTTAAAGTTAGTTTACAATACCGTCCTTGAGGACTTTGTAAGTTTGTTGTTATAGAATTATATGACTCAGGGTTTTTAGTCGTAATAGTATAAACCATTATATCTTCTGCCATTTACTTAGCAAATAAATTTTAATGAAATGTTGTGGTCGTCAAATATTTTTATAACGTCTGGGAAACTATATTTTAAGTTCAACGTTTCACCTCCTTTCATAACGTATATCTTGTCAATGACATTATATGAAACACCACAGCAACTAATGTCGGGTTCTATTTCTTTGATGTTTATATCGTCTGCCTCTGTCAAAAGTTTCAATAGTTCTTTCAAAACTTCATGAGGTGCAATGACATATGAGTTCACTTTTACAGGGTTGTGTTCGACCAAGTTTAACATTATACTTAAAGCTTGACAAATCTTCTCCTGAGTTTGAAGTTTGCCTTTCAGTTGTTGGTAGTCGTTTCGAATATCTGCAACAGAACTTAAGTCTCTGCTAACTTCAGGATATGTTGGTTCTTTTACAGGAACAATTGTTATACCATCTTCGTCTTCGTATGGTTTCCCCACTTCAACATCTCTGTCTTTGACATTGACAATAACACTTTGACTGTTTGTTTGAGTTGGTGAATTTAACTTCACATCTGCCACCGCCATTAAACCTTTTGAAACACTCACGCTTCTATTTTTCGGAAATGACATTTTACTTAGAATAAAAAGATGGACGTATTCGAGTATCTCTTCGAATTGAAGCAGAACAAAGTTTACACACACAAACAATACAAATACATTGACAGAATAGTTCTTTATACAAACAATGGTAAATGTTATAGAATAGCAATATTTGCTGAACCAAAATATTTCCATAAAGCAAAGAAAGTTGGTATAACTGAAATGGTGAAAGTTCTTGAAGCAGACAAAAATATAACAACAAAACTTACAGATATTTCTAAAGGTAAGTTTATCTTACAATATTATGTCAAAACTGGCGTACTGTCAATATTTGACGGAGAGAAGTCAGTTCAAGAACAACTTACTGACCTGCTGCCAAAATCTGCTCGATGGAAGCTGTCGTTATGCCAATCTGAGGAGCCCCAGCAGGTTTCATCGAACGAATCTTCAAAAGAGCATCTTCCGTGAAAAGTGCTATTGGTTTTGTAAACTTCTTTGCTCTCAGTTCATCTGGACCGTCTCTGTCACCAGTATATTGTATTTGAACTGTACCAACAGTTGAAATACCACCCATAAAGTCTTCTGAGTCAGCAAATGGAATGCCAAGCCAAAAGTTTGAACGGTCTCCATTTGTATATTGAGTTTTTTGACCTCCTGTATGAGTCCATACTTTCACATATGGCATAATAGAACTTTGCATTTCAGGGTTAATGGTTGTTGTGAAGTTGTTGTTAAAGTTCATAGCATCTAATGTCAAGTTGTATGACCTCATATCTTCAACTGTAGAATATTCTTCTCTTGGATAATATTTGCCATCTATGTTTATATGATATTTAATACCGGGGTTGTAGAAACAAGAATAGTCATTTATAGTTCGTCTGAACAGTACAAACATAGTATCTGCATGTTTCATTGCAGTTGTTAAAGCAATATCTGTTCTTGCACCTGGGTCAGCACTTTGGTTTCCAACTTCACCTGCAAAGTCTTTGACAGATATTTGGTGTATAGGGAACATAAGTGGAACTGCAATATATTTGGCAGCTAAAGCATTTGAAATATCTGGGTCCAACATATAAACGGCAAGTCTGCTTTCTATTCTCTTGCATTCAAATTTTTCGCATGTGAACTTAACTGGGTCCCAAGCAGTTCCAGCAGCATTGAAATAATAGTTTACTTCATTGTTGAAGTTTGAGAAACCAAAGTCTAAGTCAACTTTGTCTTTGCAAAAGTCACAGAACTTGGCTCCACCAGTTCCAGCTACAGTAATGCTGAATGGGTCTTGTGTTGGTGCAATGACTAAGTTATTTTTGCTTGGAGTAAGTTCAATAGAAATTTTTCCTGCCCAGTTTGGCAAGTATCTTAAAAACCTGAAGATGAGGAAAGATGACAAAGGAACTCTAAGTTTCAGTTTTACTTTAGTGGCAGCAGTTCCATCTGAACCAGAAAGGTTAACATAAACTCCTGGAACGTTAGGGTCAAGTCTTCTTATTTTCTCAATATTTGCATACTGGTCTGTTTGTTCTCTAGCTTGTGGTTGTACTGAGTTTCTCAAAGCGAACCATTCATAGTTTGCCCATGTTACTGTTTGAACTAAGTCAGAGTTAGAATATATCTTATATCCCATGAAAACTTCTGGAGCATATTGGTATCCGACATAGAAAATTCCATTGCAACCTTTCTTGTCAGACAACTTGGCAGAAGGTTTTATTTCAATGTCTTGTTCCACGTATAAGAATGAGTTGTCAATAGAAATAATATGAAACCTGTCGCAAGCAATATCTACTGTTGTTGAAGAACCTTCTCCAAACTCACCTACGTTTCCATAAGAAACAGCAGTTGTATATTCGTAAGTTCCAGGAACTATTTCTGACCTTCTAATGGCATTGTCGCATTCGTTATACCATTCGGAAACATTTCCGTTCATGGCATCCAAAACTGTTGGCGTTATATTCTGAGCGGCGTACATTTCATATGGGTAAAAATATAGAATAGTTGGATTTATATATCATAATAGAACCCACTCGGACCAAGCTTTACTTTCTTCCTGACTGAGTTTTTAACTCTTCTTTTTCCTTCATTGCCACTACTTTCACTAGATGAAGTTACTTCTTCACTACTTTCACTTTGTTCTACTCTTCTCTTCTTCTTTGGTGTCGCTTTTGGTAACTTGCCCTCTGCTTCAAGTTGTTGCATCTTTGCCTCATGTTCACCTAGTATGTTGTAAATTTCCCATGTCCTTTTTGCCTTTGGGCTCTGGTCGCCCATCTCAGGTAACCTATATCCTAGAAAGATTTTGTCATAGTTTGTATTTGAGTCTTCGCGTATTGTTTGCATGACTCTTTCCTGAGTTTCCGGTTCAAGCTCTTCAAACAGAGCTTGTCCATATGGAATAAGCTCGTTTCCAAATATATGTTTTTGTAGCCATTCTGGTTTTCTTTCCATGTTACCAATAATATCTTTTGTGAATGGGAAAGCTTTTACCCAATGTTTCAGTCTTGCGTCATTTATTTCTGTAGTTGGTTTTATTTTGTCAAGGAACATGTTTTTCAATACTAACATTTCATTTGGTACTGTCCATTTGAGTTTTCTTAAATATTCATCCCTTCTCGGTTCATTGTCTGCAAAGTAAGTTTTTATGACATTTTGTAAACTTTCGTTTGCAAGGTCATGTACAATAGGTTCTCTTCCTTCTCTCTCCCTAACTTTCTTTCTAAACTCTTCACCAAATATACCATCTTTATGGTTCTGTGTAGTTCTTTGAGATAAATGTTCTAGAACGTCAGGTGTTATATTTCCATCAGCCATGTTCATTTCATACTGGTTCAAAATATCTGCATCTTTCATATCTTTCAATGGCATTAAAGCCGCGCTGAAAATACCAGCTATATCTGGTTCACCATTCACTTCCATTGCGTCTACAACTTCTTGGAATTGTGGTTGTAAGTTTATGAACCACCTATCCGGATTAGCTTTATGACCCCATCTCATTGTAGTTCCATAGTCTGCAGAAACAAAAGTAGGTTTGTTTCCATATTGGTTAGGTTCTGAATGAACTTTAAACAATGTTTCATTTCTATATGTTTTGTTGAAATTTAACCTTTTATTTTCACCGAGTTCAGCCAAAGATTGAACGTTATATGGTCGTAAGTAAAAAGGATTGTTGTATTTGCGTACACTTTCTTTCAGTTCTTCCATTCTATGCTGAATATTTTCATCTGATGTTGGAGTCTTTTGTATGTCGGCGAACATTTTTCGATATTCTTCTACTATGTCAGCCGAATTTTTCTTAGACTCTTGGAAAGATTCCATATTCTCCGCATACTCTTGTTGAGGGTCAAGATTTTTCGGCTGTTCCAAATCTTCATCTAGTTCTGTGAAGTTAGTTTCCAAAGGAGGGACTTGTTCGTTTCCTTCAGGCTCTTCTAGCTGTTGTTGCTGAACTATTTCTTCCATGTCTGGTTGTATCTGAACTTCTTCCTGTGGAGTTTCTTGTACCTCATCTGCTGGCATTTCATATATTCCGAGACCGTTTTCAACAAGTTCCCTATTTAAGCCATCCGCATTCATAACCCTTTCTTCTTTCGTTCCGTCTCTATTTTTTACGCGTTTCATGAAGATAGTTGAATTATCATTTATCTCTGACACCAAATATCTCGGAGTAAATTCAGTCATGTCATTTGGATGATATGCTATTAAATCATATCCCTTAGCGAGCTTGTATTTTCCAGGTTTGAAATTATATCCCATTTGGTGCTGAACCATAAAGCTAAATAGGTTCGGGTCAGTATTTCCTTCCTTGAACTTTCTAATAGCTTCTTTATATCTGTCACTAAAGTCAAGAGTATCTGGGTAACCATAGTCTTCCTTAAGCATTTTTAAGAATTCTTGGTTTCCTTGTTCTCTACTTCTTTTATGTCCTTGCTCTGTTTGTGGTTTGGTGCTGGATTTTGAACTGTGTTGGTTGTGGTGCAGTGTTTTGAACTGTTGGTTGTGGTGCAGTGTTTTGAACTGTTGGTTGTGGTGCTGGATTTTGAACTGTTGGTTGTTGTGTTGGTTGTTGTGTTGGTTTTGGTGCATGCCTGTGTCTGTGTCCATGTGACGATGTAAATGTTTTAGGTAGTCCTGGTGCAGGTGCTTCTCTTGGAGGGTTTGGTGGTATATAAGTTCCACCAGCTGGCACATATGTTCCATCTGCAGCATAATGTCCTACCTGACTTTTCGTTCTTAAGAAAGCATTTACTAGGTCTGTTTTGGTCTGTTGTAACTCTTTTTCTTGACTTTCCACAACAGTTGCTCTAACGGCGTCATAGGCACTTTGAACTGCCTGTCTCGTTGCTGCATCTGTTATTTTCGTCATATTTTGTGCTACTTCTCTTAACTCGTTGTCGAAACCTTCAGACTTCAGTTTCTTTCCAGATGAGAAGTCGTTCACTAGTTTCACCTTACTATGAAGAGCTTCGAAGGCGTTCTTAAAGTCAGCATTCATTAAAGCTTCATTTGAACTGTCTTCATCCGCTTGTATTTTTGTCCTTATTGACCCTATAAGTTGGGCTGCTTTAGCGTTGGCTTGGGCATCTAACCAGTCATTATTAGCTTTTATATATTCTGCGCTTTTCATTGCCTTTTGCATGGCTGCGTCGTTATTTTTACTTTCTTGTGCTAAGTTTTCATACTGTACGGTTTGGTTTTGCAACTGTAAAAGTTTTTCTGCCTTTACATTTGCTTCAACTTCTTTTTTATACTCATCGCTATCCATATATGTCTTCATGGCTTTTTGTTTTATCTCTTCATCTTTCAGTACTTTATATTGAGTAGTATGGTTTTTCAAATTTATAACATCTTGTTCCATTTTTGCTACTTCTGCTGCTTTTTCTGACACTTTTTTCGCATATTCCTCTGTACTTAGTTCTTTCAGTTGTTCTTCTTTCTTCTTTTTCTCTACGTTTAACTCATTGAGTTTCTTTGTGTGTCTGTCATATTCTAGTTTCTTTTCGTTTTCACTTATTTGTTTCTGTATGTCTATGTTTGACTTTTTGACATCTGTTATTTGATTTTTGAGTGAACTCAAATTCATTTGACTTTGAGGGTTATAAGCTGTTCCGTCTGCAGCTCCACCATAGCCTGCCATTTTCGCTAAAAGTGCCGCTCTTAAACCTCCACTCTGTGCACCAATAACTCGGTTTAAAAGCATAGGGTTGCTTGACATTTGTTGCAACATAGTGGGGTCATTCATAATTTGTTGTTGCAACTGTTGTTGTGGTGTTAGTTTTACTATTGGATGTTTCAATGCTCTCTTCCTCTTACGTATATTCTTACGTAGCTTACGTGGCATTTTAAGTGAAGTAAAAAACGGTTTTTGACAGATGTTTATATGACACTATTTGTTCAGCACAAAAAACTACTCGGTCAAAGTGTTGTCAGTTTTGTAAAATAACCGTCCTATCTCCGTGCCTATGACGAAGAAGTCATGAAAATTCAAGAGGTGAAAAAAGAGGTGAGAAAACAGGTGAGATCTCACCTCTTCACCTAAATTATATTTTTGGTCATTTACACTCATTACGAAGAAGTCTTGACAAAACATGTACGATGAAATCATGACAAAACATTTACGATGAAATCATGACAAATTCAAGAGGGTAGAAAAGAGGTTAGAAAAGAGGTTAGATCTAACCTTCTACCCTAAATTATATTTTTGGTCATTTACACTCATTACGAAGAAGTCTTGACAAAACATGAAAACATATATAATTTGTGAAAAGCGACACATTATATAATGTTTTCGACCCAGAAGACTAACAATTTTCCGAATAAAAACTTCATTTATTACTAAACATCATCAGGGCTAGAAGGCACGAAGTGCCTGGAAGCCCCACTACCTTTTTTTTTTTTTTTTTTTTTCCTTAACTTCCTTTTTGTGATTTTTTGAATTTTCTTGTTTTTGAAATTATTTGTTAATCTCTAAGATTTTTTTCGAAGCCTGGTTCAGCGCAGAGATCTTTTGTCCATTTGGGGCCTCTTTCCCAGGCCTCAAATGGAGTCAATTTCTCCCCAAAGAGTTTGAATAATGTGGAGTGTTTCCATACCCTATTATACTGGGAAACAACATTGGGGATGAACTCAAAGACGTTCACTCCGGGGTTTGTCTTGAAAAGAGTCTCCCAACTCCTTTCAATTTTTCCATTTTCCTCTGGAGAGTACGGATGAGTTTTGAAATGTTTTATATTGAATTCTTGGCAAACCGCTTCAAAATCTTTTCCAATGAATTCTGTTCCATTATCTGTGAGAATTCCATGTGGAACTAATTTGACTAAATCAATTGCGTGACGAAATACTCTGGCAGTATTTTTCATTTCTTTTGTATCGAAAACATCCCAGCAAATAATGTATCTGCTTCTGTCATCAAGAAATGAAATTAAATATTGAAGGTTACCGTTATCGTTCTTCAGAAATTTCAAATCAGTATGCCACAATTGATTAACATATTGAGCAACGTATTCATGTGGATGTTCGTCGATTTTCTGATGCCTGTGAAATGTAAACAAATGTTGTTGATTGAAAATTTTGAAAGCATCGTTGAATGTAAATCTTTCGACTTTTTCGAAATATGATTCTTTGATCCTTTTGTATCCAATGTCATATTGTGCTTTAATTTCCAAAATTTTGTATACATCTTCCTCAAAAATTTTTTTCTTTGGTCTTCCTCTTTCTTTTATTGGATAGCTGAGTAGTACGAAAATTTCTTTCAAACGTTCTTTTCCTATTGAAAGTGTTTTTGCCGTATCTTCGAGAGTTACATTTGGATTATTAATGTATTCTTGATATTTTTCTTCAATTACGTTGAGAACCTGATCGGCGGGAACGGTTGGGAGTTGAAAAGTTTTAAGATCTTCTGGGTTTTCGAGACGAACCAAGATGTCTTCCATTTTTTAATTTGTAAATTTTTCAATTTTTCAAAAGATAATTTAAAAATACTAGTTATTTAATAAAATTTGTTTATTTTAAATAAAACAATTTTTTTTGAAAAAATTGTATTAATGATTTGAAGGCAAAAGCCAAAAACTTAATAGATAAAACGCTCTTTCTATATAGATCAACTTCTATTATTAAATTTATAAAAATGGAGAGATTTTGCAAATTATTTTCTAATATATTATATTTATAATCATTTTATTTATCCCATTAATAATTGTGAACCCAGAACATCTTCCCTTCAAAGTGCCAAGCATCAACACACATTCTCACTCACAAATTTTTAAAACTCATTGCCAAAAATCTAAAAAACTCACAATTTTTTTAAATTGATAACCCTCAAACCGTTTCCAATCAATAATTTGAGAGTCTATATGATAATGTAAAAGTTAAAACATTCAAGTATTTAAGTATTTCTTTAAAATATTAAGTTTTTTATTTTTCCAATAAAATTCTAATATCAAATATTTTTATTTAACGATTAATTTTATTTATATTTAATATACAAGATAATTCATGAATGTATATATTTCCAAGTTTTTAAGGATGCAACACTTTACATTTGTAAACTGTCAAAAATGAAGTCACGCTATTTTTCATGCATTACAAATACTTCTAACTTGTCTGATTTCAATAGCTTTCTCACCTCCTACATACTCTACCCAGTGTCTTGGATATTCATAAGTATACTGACTTTCTTGAATTTTGGTTGGTTTCATCATAACATGTTCATAGTATATCTTTATACTCTTGTCGGTTAGACTCGTTACCTAAATGAGTTGCTATGACAGGAACGTTTGGAATGAACATTGAATTTACTTCATAACAGAAAGACTTATATTCTACTGAACCTTTACTATTAACTCCTGAAATACCTGTGACATTAGCTATTTTTGACTCAATGTACAAACAATTGCCATAACATACGTATGGAACAGATTTCATCTCAATCGTTTTGTCAACACTTTTCAAAGGAAATGTCATACGGTATGCTCCCAGAAGCAATTGAACTCTATGACTCATTCGTGTTATCTTAAACTCCTTCGCATAACTGAACTTCAAAACTCCTGCAATAAGTTTAACATTCATTAAGTTTTCTTCGTTATCCTTGTTTATTGTAGTATTTATGAGAGCATTTAACACTCCAGCTAATGTTTCCATCTTATATTCTACATTATTGTGAAATCTTATTTCGTGCTTCTTTCCATCTATTTCAAGCTCCATGAAATCTGTTTCATCTGTTATGACAAAAGTTGCGATAGTATTGAAGTCAACAACTCTGAAAGCAAGCGCTTCATTCTGTAGACCTAAGTTTGTTTGTAGTTTTACTGTCCCGTATTCGTTCGGGTCTGTACTTTGTAAATAGAACAACATTTTATTCTCATTAAAATATGAGTATAGCTGCATATGCGTATGAAACAAATGAAGCAAGAAGAGCACATGAACTAGTAAACGAAAACTCAACTTTAACCATTGAAGGCAATGATTTAGTCATTGACGATGGAAAAACTAAAAAAGTCATTGATTTCGATACTTTTAACACTTATGACCCATTCATTACAATAAGTAAAGTTCCTATCATAAATGATGGAACGGTGCAATATATAAATTCTACAGTAGATGCCTCATTAGTGAAAGTATTAAATGTTCTCATTGAATTGTTAAAGAGCTTTCGATTTGACGACAACATTAAATGCTTAAAGAATTTAGTCATGAATGAGAAACAAATTCTCGGCGTTGCTGGTAGCAGTAATGATGTACACCTTATGACATTAGAATATTATAACGAACATAAAGATGAACTGAAAGGAGAGAAGGGTGACACTGGACCTCAAGGACCACAAGGAATACAAGGAATACAAGGACCTCAAGGCGAAAACGGTTTGGATGGTGAAGATGGAAAGGATGGAAAAACTGCTAAATCATGGATATGGAACCTTATAAATACTGGTTTAACAGCTGCTTCATATGGAGTTCTTCAATACCAAATCGGAAAGATATGGGCAGTACTTGGTGAAGAAGCTTTAGATGACGTTAAAAATGCTTTGAACTTCATTTCAAATGGTTCGGATACTATTAAAACTTTATCTGGTTAGATGCAAGAAACAAGGAGTCAAATAGATACTGTAAGACGTATAGCAAACAATGCACGTACGGGATTGGATACTTTACGAGAAGCACAAAATACACTAAAGGAAGCAAATGATATTCTTGGCTCAGTATCAGACATGCATGAAGATTGGCTTAAAGGTATTGACAAATCTTTAAAAAATCACAGTCAGTCTATTGCTGACTACAAGAAAAGTATAGATTTTTTACATAGTGCTATGGACGTACATGATGGAAGCATAAGGAACTTACTTAATGCTAACAATAACTTACCAGGAACTATTAAAGCATTTATAAAGTCCTTTGTAAAACCTGGTGCTCTAACATTTAGGTCTTTGAGAGCAAGAGCATTGAAGTCAAGAGATGCAGAAACTCCAACAGAACCTACAGAAGGAACTGAAACAACAGAAACTCCAGAAGAACCACCAAAACCAACAGCTAATGAAATATTGTTCGAATATTTTCCAAGGTACTCTGTTCTCATTGCATACATTCAAGAAATACTTAAGAAAGCAGACTTGACTTTAGGAGATGATGAAAGTTCTGTATATCTTTCGTTCCAGTTTCAAATAGCAGAACTTTTGAGACAGATATGCTTAATGTATGACAACATCTCTGATTTCACAAGATATGATGACGACCATGACCCCGAACACGGTGAAGAAGAAGTTTTACAAACATCCATTAAGACAGGAAAGGTTTTAACTCAAAGTCTCATTATTGACACCAAAGATGGCGAAGTGGACGTTCTTCAAGAGCTGAAGAAAAATACTTCTGAAGGAGGTGGTGGTAGGCATGAACTTGAAATAAATGAGATAGAAGAGAAATTAGCCGAAAAAGCAGATAAAAACCATGTTCATTATATAAGTTCAGACGAACAAATTATAACGGACTACCACGGATATTTAATACAGGATGAACAAATAAGCACTGAAGATGTTAATGAAAGAAGATATAAATTCATTCGTGCTAAAGGTTATGACATACACTGTACTGTACAGTATGACACAGGTAAAGCACCAGAAGCATTTGGTTATAACAATGAAATTTATGCTTCATACTTCTTTGTTAACGGTGTATTAGTTGAACCAAGATTTACTTTGAGAGTTAAGGCAAAAATAACTTTTGAAGATGCTATTAAAAGTAAAGCTGACAAAGATGAACTTGATGCAACGAACAAAGTTTTGAAATCTCATAAACACAATATCTCCGATATAAATGAACTTCAAGCTACATTAAATAGTAAAGCTGACAAGAACCATACACATGAATCCTTCACTACTGTTAGAGCAGACGACATAATACTGAACTATGATTTGGGTTCAAGTGCACCTTTAGAGAATCCGAGTACAAGCGTAAAAGATACACTAAACAATTTAGATAACAGATGTATGAACATTGAAGGTCATGCCAGAAACTTTGAAGCATACGAACTACCAGCAATGTTAGATAAGAAAGCTGACAAAACTTATGTAGATGAAAATTATGCAAAGAAGTCGGAAGTAAATGATGCGCTTAATGGAAAAGCTGATAAAGAGCACGTGCATGAAGAATTTCAAACAATCAGGATTAAAGAAATTAAAGCATACATTGAAGAAGTAACAAAAACAGGAAGAGACGGTACACCTTTAGTTGAACAAAATATTTATCCTCCTACTTTTCCTAATGGTTTAATAACAAACAATATAAATATTGTAGATGGCAATGGATTTATAAATGTTAAACATGAACTTCAAACAATGAAGACTCAGATTCTTCAAACCATATATCCTATAGGCTCTATTTATACGTCAATGAACTCAACAAATCCCGCAAGTGTTTTAGGTTTTGGTACGTGGCAGTAGATTGTAGATAAATTCTTATACTGTGCTAACTCTTCAAATCAAACAGGAGGTTCAAAGAAAATTAAAGAAGCAAACTTACCTGCGCACACTCATACAGGAACGACAAACTTTTCTGGCGACCATAGCCACTCATTAAGAGACCACCCATTATACAACTCAGACTATAGAGCCGGCAATGACGTTTTATCTCCATCTTATAACAATTCAGCAAAAAAGACTTTTCGACCAACTGAACCAGGAGGAAATCATACACATACTTTCACAACAAATCCAACAGGCTCGGGTGCAGATTATATGCCACCATTTATGACTGTATTCGCATGGTACCGCGTTCAATGAACGCGCTTGAGCCTAGACCCTTTGGGTCAAGGCTTACCGTCTTGAATAAAATCTTTAACTTTACATAAATGAGCTTGAAAGAAGTATTCGAACAACATCCATGGAGGTCATTTAAGAAGTTCAATGAAGCAGCAAAAAGTTGGGGATTTACTAACAGAGCTGAAGTTAAAAAGTTCTTTGACAAAAATGTTGTACATCAAACAAAAATAAACCCTTACGACTACTTTTTACCAATTTACTCCATCACTCCTGACGCATACCAATTTGACACTCTCATTCAAAGCAGAAAAGGAGGACATAAACCATTCCTCATCTTCATTAATGTTAACACTCGCAAAGCATATGCATATCCAATGAAAAATAAAGGAACTCGTGAAGTGTTAAGAGTTTTACAAAAGTTTGTAGCAGAACATAGCCCAAGTACTTTAACATCAGACCAAGACGGTGCATACCTCAGCAACGAAATCACAGAATTTCTCATTAAGCATAACATAACTCACTACACTACTGAAGACCATAACCATAATATTTTAGGTATCATTAATCGCTTCATAAGAACGCTCAGAGATTTAAATCAAAGCGAGACTTTACCGAAGAAACAATGAAACATTTTCTCGAAGTATATAATTCCAACACACTCTACAACAGGACATACACCAAATTCAATGACACAACAACAAGAAGAAAAGTATATACAAAAGAAACGAAGTCAAACACAAAATATCAGAAATTCAACACAATTTACCCTCATTCCTGGAACAAAAGTTCGTGTAGTTCTTGACGACAAACCGTTGACAAAGAAACGTTTAAGGTTAAGTAGAAACTATTATATCGTAGACTCTACGCAAGGTAATGGATATCTTATAAAAGCTGCTGACGACTCTATTGCGTTTTATCCTCGTCATAAATTAGTTGAAAGTAGTAATGGCAAACTTGCTGAAACCATTGACGAAGCAAAGCGAGGAGTGGTTATTGAAATACTTGGCTATAACATAAACGATGACACTTATAAAGTAAGATATGAAGGAGGCGTTGAAGATGTTATACCATCTAAGAACTTGAGAGAGTCGAAGCCAACACATCTGGGACCATTAGAGTGGGAGTACTGGAAAGACAAAAATATGCCAGAAAGAATAAGAAAATTCTTCTAAACTTTTTCATTAGATGTAAATCAGACATGAACGAGAACAGTCATGATATCATTAATGGTACCATTTATTTTAACATAAAGACGCAAAGCGGCGGGGCATAGCCCATGACCAAAAATAATTTTTAGGGTAGATGGGTATTTATACCCTCATTTCTACCCTCATGAATTTTCATGAATTTTATATATTAACGTTTTCATAAATACTGAAGGTGTCACCACGTCACCATGTCACCAGGTTAATTAACTTCTTTAAAAAATGATGACAACATGACATTTAGACAACAAGCCCGGAAATTTGATGCAGTCCAAAAATAAAGTTAGTTTTAAAATTATTTTTATTTTTTTATTCCTATATAAATGACAGCAACAAACAACAACAGTAACTTTATCATTTCTGATGAAAAAGTTATTGATTCATTAGCTAAGGAATTAGTTACGGCAGAAACTAAAACCCTCAACGAAAGAATTGGTGAAAACAAGATTGATTTACATAACTACCTCAAACACGATGGAGGAAGAGGAAGGAAAACTGGTATGGCTTTATTAGTAAATAAAATTCAAAATTTAACTATTATAGATGTCGATATCAATAAATCGTACAATGATGAACTTAAAGAAACAGTTAGAAAAGACATTCTATCAAAACTTTCGGATAAAGATGTTATCGTTAAAACCGCTTCAGGAGGTCTTCACATTTATTGCAACACTAATTTCTTCTATGCAGTTTCGAACAGAATGATTAAATGTTATTCCTGCAATGATTATGATATTGATATAATGACTTCTATTGATGATTCAAAGCGTTCATTGGTAGTTATGGCTGATTCAAGAGTTCGAAAGAATGCAACAGAACCAATCAATACATACTCATTCATTCGCGGAAGTTATGACTCGACCATAACCAGAACAGTGAATGATATATTAAATGATTTGAATATTAAGGTAAGAGTTGAACAAAAGAACGAAGAAATAAAGACTATCATGAATGAAAACAAAAATGTAAACATTGACGATAAACTAGCTCAAAGCATAGTTGATGGCATCTGTGATTTTGAAGTACATAATGACGGTGGAAACATGAATTTAGAAAAAGAAATAACATTATTCACACTGTTTCAAGCTATTAATTCATTACCTGATCATTTAATTAATGAAGCATACGATAACGTTTATAACTTCTGCAGTTTAACAGAAAATGCAAAAAGTAATTTTGAAAAAGCATGTAGTAGATATGCACATTTAATGACTTCTCCATTTGTTTTGGTGAAGATTCTAAAACTATATCAAAAGGAATATTATGATGAATACGTTTTACCTTTATTACGTAAGCCAAAAATAACATTTGATATAAAACTTGATGATTCATTCTTGATAACAGATATTAGACGCAAGGCTGAAAATCATCAGTATAAAAACAGTTTCTGAAGTCATTGAGGATTTATCACGTGTAATCCGTTTTGTAGATTGTGGAAACAAATATTTCATTCAAAAGGACTATAATATTCATGATAAAATGAATCAAATATCATTCGTTCTTCAATCAGCCATGAAAGAGTCACTCAAAATGATTAAATTATTTAAAGAAGAAGGTAAAACCATAACAGCATGGGACGTACTACTAAATCAATTATCCTCATTAACCGTTAAGGGTGTTTGCTTTAAATCTGATTCTCCAGATGTTTTCTCAACGTTTCAGGGTTATAAATACAACGTTCTCGAAAAGCCAGATTACTCAAAAATTGAGATGTTTATGAATTTCATTAAAGAAGCCATTTGTGATAATAACGATGAAGTGTATAAATATCTACTCGGCTGGATTGCATCAATGATTCAACATCCTGGAATCAAGAATGAAACAGCAATTATTTTGAAAGGACTTCAGGGAACAGGTAAAAACAGATTTACAGACATTATTTCTGAACTTCTCGCCGGTTATTCATGTAAAAACATTACTGAAATAAGTGAGCTAACGGGTAATTTCAATTCAGTAGTTGAGAATAAAATGCTTCTTGTACTTAACGAACTCAAGAATGTAGGTGAAGATAGACTCGCAAACTTCAACGCTTTGAAATCAATTATAACGGATAATGAGATTAGAATTAATGAAAAGAATCAACCCAGAAGAACTGCTCAGAATGTTGCCAATTTCATTTTCGTAACTAACAACGTTTACCCTGTCAAAATTGAAGTTGGAGACAGAAGATACGTAGTTTGGTTAATGGTAAATTTAAGGGTCAATTTGATTATTTCAAGAATTTAATGGATTCATGCACAAAGGAATTTTATGATAATTTACTAACATATTTTATCAATTACGACCTTTCATCATTTAATGTACGAATCATACCGATGACTGAAGCCAAACAAGATTTAATAGAATTATCAACAAATCCTTTAGATGAATGGATAAATACACATTATGATGAATTGTGTGCAGGTATGACGTGTAAAAATGCTCTATGCTGCAAACCATCAGACATGAAAGACAAAAACTTTCAAATGAGCATTAAGGATAAATGTGAAAGGAAACAGAGAAGAATAGATGGTAAACAGACGTGGTGTTATGTTTTGAAAGAAGAAATGAAAGGATTATATAAACAGGTTGAACCAAACGATAATGATGATTCATTTACTGACGATGAAATACCTGTAAATGATGCTTTATAAAGTATGATTGGAATTTATTTTTGCATTCAACCCATGCTGTTGTCTAAATGTCATGTTGTCACACTTTTTAAAAGAAGTTAATTAACCAGGTGACACATGGTGACGTGGTGACACCTTCAGTTCTTCAAAAATAATTCATAAATGCCTTCCTCCTTTCGTACCTGTTGTCTAAATGTCATGCTGTCATCATTTTTAAAAGAAGTTAATTAACCAGGTGACACATGGTGACGTGGTTACACCTTCAGTTCTTCAAAAATATATTTTTGCTCAAATAACGTCAGGGTCAATTTCTTCAACCATTTCACTTCCTTCGTCAATGTCAATAGAAGCTTCTTCAACCTTTGGTAAGAATTTCTGTATAACATCTTTGTTCGTTATTGTCTTCAGAGATGAAGGATAATATTTCACATTTGTTTCACCTTTCTTATATTCTTTCTGTTCGGAAAGATTTAAAGCAATACTGAAGAAGTCAACGTTAGAGTTCTTTATGACAGTATAATGAGTATCTTTGGCATTCACGAAGAAATTCTTTTGTTTCAAAACTACTGCTAACTCTTGTGAAGTATAACGTTTGCGGTCAATGACGATAGCTAATGGTCTGACATACTGACCAAACTTAGATTCTTTCACAAACTTCTTGTTAAAGATAACATTAACATTTGAAGCATTATTGAACTCATTCTTGATGGCAGTAGCGAGAGCATTGTATGAAAAGAACTTGCAATCTTGCATGTGTTTCATTAAAATAAAAATATTAAATTATTTTGAAAAATAACTTAAAAAAATCTAATCTAATTTTTTCAAAAAATATTTTTTATTTCCTACTAAAGATGTATCGGAAGTT